ATATTTGCCCCGAAGTGGTCAGTGYTTCCTCAAAGCAGATAATTTTGGGGGAGGTGCCAGGATTGAACTCAGGGRCACTTGACCACTGAGCCACTTCCCCAGCCCTATTTTGTATTTTATTTAGAGACAGGGTCTCACTGAGTTGCTTAGCACCTCGCTTTTGCTGAGGCTGATTTTGAACTCGTGATCCTCCTGCCTCAGCCTCCCGAGCTGCTGGGATTCCAGGCAGTTGCCACCACGTCTGGCTTTTCCATATTTTCACTGGAGCATTATGACTGTACCTCATGGTGGGATTCCTTGTCACACATTCGTACATGCACTCTAAAACAATAGAATTCCGCCAATATCATCCCCAGGATCTCCTCTTTCCYTCTCCCCTGCCTCTCCCTCCCTTTCCTCAACTCTACAGATCTTCCTTTTGATTTTTATGAAATTCACCCTCAAATCCTTTTTCCCATTTCTTATCCAAAAGTCCCAAAATTCACTTGCTAAATCATCTTCCTTCCAAGTTATCTCAGGTGACAATTCAGCCTCCAGTGGCGGCACCTTCCACGCCGACCTAAAGCCAATGCCCTCTGTGGTCGATGCTTATACTTCCCAGTGCCAGATTTTTGGAGAGGACGGTATTCACGAGGGGGCCACAATAACCACCCCCAAATCTCAGGAGCTCACAAAAGCAGAGGTCTATTTCTTGCCCACTTGACTGTTATTCTAAGATCAGCTTCAGTTCTGCTGCTGCGTGTGTCCCAGGCCAGTGGAGCAGCTCCTACCTGGGACAAACCAGGCTGTGGAAAAGCAAAAAGACAAAAAATAAAATAAAAGTGAAGGCTGCAATGGTTCTTAGGGCTTCTTCCAGGAAGCRGTGCTTGTCATTTCCACCCAAGTGGATCCACATGATTTTAAAGGAGGGAGGGATAGACAAGTTTTTTTCAGGGAAGAACCGAAAACTTAGGGCATAATAATAGCCTACCACAGAGCCCAGTGAACAGGACCCTCTCTCTCACCGGAATTCTGAATGGAGACTTAAAACCAAGGAGCCAACACGCAGAGCATCAAAATGCTCTCCTTGATTAGAAGACAGCTGCGTTGCAGGAGCAGCTCAGTACAAGAACCAAACAGGGTTGCTCACTTAGAAGCCCAGAAGGTGAAACCTCACGTCTCCAGCAAGACTGTGTCAGAAGCTGTTCCCGGAGGAAGAGAGAATATATCCCAGGAGGAGCCTCCAGCTCTTACCAAAGGAAAGAGGAGGGGCTGGCACACCTGGCTCCTTCCAAACTCCCCGGCAGATCGGCAGATCGGCTATTCCGACCTCCCTGAAACGGGGGAACAGGTGGGCACAGGAGGGCTGGGAGCACAAGGCTAAGGTCCCCAGGTGGAAAGAAGCATCAGGAAGGGAAAGAAGCACTTCCCACACAGTTCTCTCTTAGCCAGAGAAGCTCCATAACTAACTGGTCCCAGTCCCGAGTGGGCAGCGGGGCACTGGGCAGCTCTAGGGGAGGGTGGGAGGCAGGGGTGGCTTTTGAAAATGATCTGGACCAGAAGGCACTATGGGTGGAAAGGTTCAGATGTGAGGAGCATCTTGTGTATGTGTATCTGTTAGTTTTCTATGAATCTGTCTTTAATAGTAAGTGGGGTTGGGAACCCTCTTCCTCCATCCTACCCCATGGAGGCCATTCAGGCAACTGTAGAACCAATAGAAATTGGTGAACTCTGGGGGCTGGGGCTGGGGCTCAGTGGCAGAGCGCTTGCCACGCATGTGTGAGGCACTGGGTTTGATCCTCAGCACCGCATAAAAATAAACAAAATAAAATAAAATTAGTGGACTTTGAATAAAAAACAACCTTGAAGCTGACACGGTGGCTCCCACCTGTCATCCCAGTGGCCAGGGAGGCTGAGGCAGGAGGATCRCGAGTTCAAAGCCAGCCTCAGCAAAAGCAAGGCGCTAAGCAACTCAGGGAGACCCTGTCTCTAAATAAAATGCAAAATAGGGCTGGGGACAGGGCTCAGTGATCGAGTGCCSCTGGGTTCAATCCCCGCCCCCCAAGAAAGAACAACCTTGAAGGAGGTGACAAGATCTGTTTTACGGGGCCAGGGGGGCTGAAATAAAGTCCCTGAACTCAGACCACCTTGGCTGGGCTGGGATGTCACACTTAATTCCTCCCCTCCATGAGGAGGCTAGAATGTCTCAATGCACCTGTCCCACTCCCCAGTCTCCCAGGAAGAGAATGGCTCCCCAGGTCAACCCACACAGGATCCCCAAAGTGGGACCTTTCTCTTGTACCGGCTCTAACCCCCTCCAGGTGGCGCCACCCAAGACCAGGCTCACAGGCACCGGGAGCTGCAGCCTGGGAGCAGGTGGTCCGCAAAGCTCTTCCAAAATTCTCCCCAAATCAGCCCCCCAGGTCTGACCTGCGCCTTTCAAGAATCCTAGCACATATGYCCATAAAACAGAACCGATGCTGTCACTGTCTCAGTGACACCCTCCACGGTGCAACTCTGGAGTTTATATTACAAATTGCTGCTCGTTTGGCTCATTTGATGACTAATTTATGTGATGGCGGAAGCTACTCTACAACATGTAATGAGGCATTTTCACTTCAAAAGTGRTTTTGAAGTGGTCTATAACTTTCCAGGAAGTAAACTTAAAGTTAKGTCACAATTCAACTAAGACTTGTCCGGACTCCTAGCACTAAAGCAGACATAGTAGGAGTTCCCACCCCCGTTCTTTCCTTACACCATGACTYAGTCATAAATGTCAACTTCCCACTCCACCATCCCAAGTTGGGAAATGGAAATACATTGTGTAAGTGGGTTCTGGGATCCCGTGGATCCACAGAGTTGAAGAGCTCCGGGTATAGCAAGAAGAACCACAAGTCTGCTGTGAGGTGAGMATGCATGCACTCCAGTCTTGCTGTTCAATGGCTGTGTGACCTTGCCAAATCATCTTACCTCTCTGAGTCTTCAGTTTCTCTTAAAAATAGAGTCAATGGTTGCACACGGTGCTGCACACCTGTCATCCCAGTGACTCCAGAGGCSGAGGCAGGAGGATTTCATGTTTGAGAYCAGCCTCAGCAACTTACTTAGACTGCATCTCAAAATAAAAATAAAAAGGGCTGGGGATKGGGGATGGGGTTGTGGCTCAGTGATAGATACAGCACTTGCCRAGCATGTGTGAGGCACTGGATCCAGTTCTCAGCACTGCATATAAATAAATGAATGAAGTTCAGAGGTCCATCAACAACTGGAAAAACATTAAAGAAAGAAAAAGGGCTGGGGAGGTAGCTCAGTGGTAAAGCAGCCCTGGGTTCAATCCCCAGCACTGGAAAAAATAGGGTTTATGATTTCAAACTTCCAGATGATGTTGTAAGAATTAATTGGTCAATGTCTGAGTGGTAGATATAACAATTATCCTGATCTGATCATTACACATTTCATACATGTGTTGAAGTGTCACATCGTACCCCATGGATATGTATAATTGTTATGTCAATTAATAATTAAGCATTAAAAAAATAAATAAATAAAAGAATTCTAAATGTGGTAAGTAGTGCTTTGGAAAGYGCTTTGTAAAACTCACTCCCGTGGAGGCTGCCCAGCCCGAGGATGAACAAGCCAGACAGGCAGGAAGCTCTGGTCCAGGGCACTGTGTCTCTTGGTCATGTCTATCATTCCTCCTGGAACACAGTCCTACTCCCTTCCCAGAGAGGWTTCAGATAGTGGCCACCCATGGCCAGGACCCTGGAAGCTTCTCCAGCAGGCCTCCCAGGCCTTCGTGCCCATGTCTCATCAGACACAATTGGAAGCTCTTCCTCTGTCCCCCTTCCTGGTCATTTTTTTGTTGGATGAGCTGCAGTTGGCTATGTCCTTTTTAAGTGTGTGTCTAGAAGGAGACCCAAAACTTTGGAAGAGCCGGGCCAGCTCAGGGAAGATGGAGCCACTGGTCTCTTCCTCTTTCCCAGCCTCAGACTTGGGTGACAGCCACTCAAGTTCCTATTTGCCATTTTTAGTTGCTCTGATTCAGATTTTTGCTTCCTGTTGGGTAAGAAAGGGAGGGAATGGTGGCGCAGGAGCTGTGACAGTGGGCTAGCAGGCAGGAGCCCTCGCTGGAGAGGAGCACAGATGCTGGGGATCTATGGAGCTGGGGCAAGATGGATGTGGTGGATCTGGGAAGCAAACCATCACTCTCTAGCACAGAGTGAAGCATTTGTTTGTTTTTCAGAAGTCTATGTGGCCTCCAGTCAAATGTATGCATATCAAAGGATTTGTAACAAATGATAAAAAGGGCTGAACATTGGTGATGGGGGGGGGGGACAGGAAACCTGGATCCAAATCCTAGTCCTTCCCACTGATGAACCTGGACAAGTTATCTCACTTGCCAGCGCACCTCTAATGGAGAAAGGATATTCCACGTGTCTACTTGAAACAGCTGTTGATTGCCCAAAGCACTTTTCAAACGAGAAGTGCTGAAATAAACCTTGATGGTTAAGGAGTTAGGGCGCAATCCTGATTCCTTAGTCTCTTCAATTGAATCCCTGCCCCACCTCGCGCCATCCCCCTTCAGTCCAACCAAAGGAACTGCCCCCGCTGTCCTCTTGGCCAATTACAGGCGCCCCAGTGGGAGGACCGAGTTCTGGTTGTGTCTCTGCCATCTAATCATATTACCCAGGGAGCCTGCTACGCTGTTCCCTTTGGTATAATGGGGTTGAACGCGGATAAGGGGGCGTGGTGCGAAAGGGCTCTGTGGGCCTCAAGACACAGTGCTCCTTAGGCACCACCTAGAGCCGGGATGGCGAAATCAAAGCCCCTGCAGGAATAATGGAGCTGAAAAAGCAGCCCCTCGACCTGTGACTCGTTCTCCAAGGCTGCAGCCCCAGCCACAGAGTGGGAACTACATTTCCCGGCATCCCGCGCGCCTGGAAGGGCAGGTCGGCGCCATGAGACTGGGCTGTCCTGGAGGGAGCGGGGCTTCCGACCGGCACTTCCGCTGTTGCCAGGGGAAACAACCGCAGCGAGGCGGAAGAAGCCGAGGGCCGGCTACCTGTGACCGGGTGGAGCGCGGGAAGTATGGCGGCCTCGGGGCCCGGGAGTCGCAGTTGGTGCTTGTGTCCCGAGGTGCCATCCGCCACCTTCTTCACGGCGCTGCTCTCCCTGCTAGTGTCCGGGCCCCGCTTGTTCCTGCTGCAGCCGCCCCTGGCGCCCTCGGGCCTGTCGCTGCGGTCCGAGGCCCTGCGCAACTGGCAAGGTGAGCAGGGGCGGGGCCGGACCGGGCGCCGATCCCCGCCGCCGACTTCGCGCGTCCGGGGACTCCAGCCCCAGACCTCCCCGCCAGCCTGTCGCTGCCTCCGTGCGCGGCTGCTCCCACCTGGAGGTCCGGCCTCCAGCACCGCCTCCCGCCTTCCCTGTTTCACGCCTTCCCTAGCCTTATCTTCGTCATCACCCTTTCCTACCCAAATTTGCTCCTTCCCGGTGGTCGCCAGACTGGCCCGGGCTCCAAACTCATTCCTTGATGACAAATGTGGTTTTCTCTCCGCTCCCATTTCATACCCACACCCACGTCTGCCAAGGGCCAAAGCTCCACCGAAAAATTATCTCTTCCCCTTTATCGCGACACCTGAGCATTGTCTGTTGCCACTCTTATCAATGTCCTGTCCTCTGGAGGTTTGGAATGTCTTTTTTTGGGGGGGGGGGTGGAGGTTACCAGGGATTTATCCCAGGGGGGCTTTGCCGCTGAGCCACATCCCCAGCCCTTTTAAATATTTTATTTAGAGACAGGATCTTGCTGAGTTGTTTAGGACCTCGTTAAGTTGTTGAGGAGCTCCTCCTGCTTCAAGCTACGGAGTTGCTGGGATTTATGGGCATGCTCCACCGCACGCCTGGCCTGGAATGGCTTCTGCATAGTTTATATCGCAGTCCTGACTCCCAAAGCCCAGAGCTTGGGCGGGGGTGGCTGCTTCTGCATTTGGAGAGGTGTTTTTTGTTGTTTTTTTTTTCATGGGGGAGAGTAATTTTGCAGTCCAACTAAGTATAAACATCCATTCATAAAGACATTCCTAGTCTCCCCTTCTTCCTCCTTTTCTGGGAAGGAATAGAAGAAATTTGTATGGCTCTTGTTGTTTTGCAGTGTACACTCCCATGCTTTAATTAATCCTCAGCGATTCTATGACATAGGCCATATTAAACTGACCATTATTTAGATGAGATTGAAGCCTAGTGCAAAGAATCAGAGCTGTTAAAAGTCATAAGACTGAGATAGGAACCAGCTTTTTGTTTTTATGGGATGATAGTTTGGAAATAGAGCCTTGGGATATATCATTCCCAAATCATATAGAGTTGCTTCTAGAATCTTTTCACATTTATACTTGGAATTTCAGTTTCGGAAGTACTCAACAAATAATGAAGTACTCTTCAGATAATGAAGCCTTCCGGAGACGGCCTGACAGGTATATGGTTCCATAGCCTGCTTCCCTGCTCAAAACTGAAGCTGTTCCCTGCACCCTCCACCCCAGATACACACGGCACCTCCTCAGATAGAAGCCAAAAGCTAGCCCCCCCCCCTTTTTTTTTAGTTCACAGCTTCCCAGTTGTGGGGTTCATGGACTTAGGATCATCAGTCATACAAGGGACCTTTGAAGGCCTCCAGTCGAACCTGTTACTTTGCAATGAGGAAACTAAAGCCTCGAAATTGACTAGCTCAGACAGCCTGGTTGTGATAGAGCCGAGATTCCACTGAAGGTCTTAGGACTCCCAAGTCACTGTCACTTCAGCTTAGTGTGTGGGCCTGCAGTGGTGTAAAATACATTAGAGATAACCATGTTTAGAAAAACGAGCATGATTCTTTGCTGTCTTATTGCACATAAACCATTATTCTACCTGCAAGGCTTTCAAGGAAGATGTCTGATTTCTATATTATTAATGCTAGCTTTATAATCCTTATAGCTGCAAAATAATTCATGGTCCCTTTTTTCTTCCTCTGAACAGCCACTATGGAAGGAGAGGTCAGGATTACAGCTGAGGAGACTGGCACACAGAGTGTTAAGTGACACCCACTCAATCACCCTGAAGCTGTTACAATTAATTAACCCTCAAACTGCCCAGTGAGGTAGGTCAGTATTAAAATCTAAAAAAAGGATTATAAAGCACTTTAAAATTCAGAGACTACTCCATGACAAAAAGTATTTTTTTCACACATGGAAGTTGGTTTCTGACCTTCTCAAGGTCTGGGAAGAGCAGGGTTTAGACATTCATGCCTCTACTCTGAATCTTGGGTCCTCCATTGTTGTCCCCACTGCTTATCACTGCTTTTCAGTGGCTCTCTGGGGCTTACTTTCCCTTTCTTAGATGGCTTATCACCTGGTTTTCCCACCCGCCGGCCTCTAACTCCGGTCCCTTTTCAGTTTACAGGTTGGTGACCTACATCTTTGTCTATGAGAACCCAGTCTCCCTGCTCTGCGGTGCTGTCATCATCTGGCGCTTTGCTGGCAATTTTGAGAGAACTGTGGGCACCGTCCGCCACTGCTTCTTCACCTTGATCTTCGCCATCTTCTCTGCGATCATCTTCCTGTCATTTGAAGCTGTATCGTCATTGTCAAAGCTGGGGGAAGTGGAGGATGCCAGAGGTTTCACCCCGGTGGCCTTTGCCATGCTAGGAGTCACCTCTGTCCGCTCTCGGATGAGGCGGGCCCTGGTGTTTGGTGTGGTGGTGCCCTCGGTGCTGGTGCCCTGGCTCCTGCTGGCTGCCTCTTGGCTCATCCCCCAGACCTCCTTCCTGAGCAACATCTGTGGCCTTCTGGTCGGACTGGCGTGTATCCTTCTAGAAGGGAATTCAGAGAGATGCCAGCCAAGGGGGGACCTGGGGAGGCAGGTAGATAGTCTTGGGCTCAGACATAGGCAGCCTAGGCTCTGGCTGCAGCTTTGAGATCCCTGGAGCCTTGGGCTGGTCACCTCCTCTGTCCAGCCCAGGATTTCCTCACACAGTCATCTCCTCGTGCCAGCTTAGCCTAGCCCTGCCAGTTGGCAAAATATACAAAATTTGAGGGTTTTTTTCCTTGAAAACTTAGGTATAAACCTACATTTGATCAGTTATCATAGGAGTGTTCATTGGAAGAGTCTGAGATACCCAAAAGCTGGAGATATTCATGAAAGGGATAGGAAACATTTGGTTTGTGATTTTTTTTTTTTTTTTTTTTTTTTTTTTGCGTTTCTGAGAATCAAACCCAAGGCCCCACAAATGCTGAGCAAGGACTCAACCACTGAGCTATACCCTTAGCTTCAGATTTCTTTTTGTTACTGTTTTTGTTTGGCTTGATCTTTTTCTCAGGAAAAAAAAATAAGGAAGGAGACTTTTACTGTAAGCATAGTTAAAACTTAGAATAAGCTTTCCAGCTTCTATATTTTGGCAATCAAATGAAAGAAATCTATACTACAAAGTGGAGTTTCTTTTATAAACATCAAAATTAGTGAGGTTGGAAAAGAAAATTGGGGGTTAGACAAGATATAAAATCTCTCATGATTCTGTGTACTAATAAGAGAGGTTATGTATAAGTATTGGTAAGTGAAAGCTCTTATTTTTTAATTTCATTGATTTTAAACTCATCCTCTGATATAAAAATGGAAATGATATAAACTCTCCTACAAATACTACTTTAGCTACATTACACAAGTTTTTTTTTTAATATTTATTTTTTAGAAGTAGTTGAACACAATACCTTTACTTTATTTATTTTTATGTGGTACTGAGGATCAAACCCAGGGCCTCGCACATGCTAGACAAGCGCTCTACCACTGAGCCACAGTTTTGGTATACTGTGTTTTCATTACCACTCAGTTGAAAATAGAATTTTCTTTGGAATTTCTTCTTTGATCCATGTGTAATTTATAAATGAGTTGCTTAATTAAAAATATCAGTGGTTTTTCCAGACTTCTTTTTGTTATTTTCTAACTTAATTTCATGTAGGTACAGAACATTCTTTGTATGATTCTGACCCAACGTTTGGTATGTTGGTGACTATTCTTGAAAAGAACATGGGTTCTGTGGCTGGTAGACATGGATAGTCTGTGTCTCTAAGGTTGAAGTCTTGCTTTCATTTACGTCTTCTGTATTCTTGTACTAAACCTACAACTCTAACTGTGGATTTGTCCATTTTTGCCTTCCAGTTGTTTTGTGCATTTTGAAACTCTGCTGCGGATGAATATACATTCAGAATTATATGTCATCTTAATAATTGATCCTTTATCATGAGGAAATTGACTCCTTTTATCTATGGTCATATTCTTTGCCCTAAAGTCTGTGTTGTCTTATATCAATATAGTTATTCCAGCTGTTTTACTGTTAGGGTTCATGTAGTGTATTTCCTTCCTTCCTCCCTCCCTCCCTCCCTCCCTTCCTCCCTTCCTTCCTTGTCTGTGTACCAGGCGTGATATCACAACCTATAATCTCAGCTACTTGGCTGAGGCAGGAGGATCATGAGTTCCAGGACAGCCTGGACAACTTAAAAAGGGCTAAAGATGTAGCTCCTTGGTGGAGAACTTGCCTAGCATGTGTGAGGCCCTGGGTTCAATCCACAGTGCTGGAAAAAAAATTGTCTTCATATTTAAATCCTATTTCCTATGGGTAGCATGTTGGTTCTCCAGTCTGACAATCTCTGCTTTCAAACAATATGTTTAGCTTATTTACATTTAGTGTAATTATTGATATGGTCAAGTTTAAGGCTACCAGCTTGCCATTTGTTCCATACTTTCCCCCTCTTCTTTCCTTTAATTGCATATTTTTCTAATTATAGAATTTAATCTTCTTTCCTTGTTAACTGTACCTTTAATTTTTTTTAGTGGTTACATACAGTATATATTTTATCATAAACAACTTTTGAAGTATCGTGCCACTCCATACACAGTGTAAGACCTTATACAAATACAACATTATATTTTCCTTGCCTTCTTTTCATCCTCTGTGTTCTTGTTGTCATGTTTTATTTCACATGTGTTCTAAACCTCACAGTACATTGCTATGACTTTAAATAGTTAAATTGTTTATATTTTTTAATTAAAAAAGCCATCAGACATTGACCCACATATTTATTATTTCTAGTTCTCCTTTAATGTGGATCCAAGTTTCCATCTGCTATCATCTTCCTGTGGCCTGAAGGAATTTCCTTTGACATTTCTGTTGGTGACAAGTTCTGTCAGCTTTTGATGTCTAAAAATGCTTTCATTTGCTGCATACAGGATTCCAGCCTTTTCTGGTCTCCTGAGACTCCTCTTTTACTTTTAAAGATGTCATTGCATTATTGTCTGACTTGTTCTCTCCCTTTTTTGGTGGTGGTGCTGGGATTAAACCCAGGGTTGTACACACTGAACCATATCCCCAAACCCCAGCCTTTTTATTTTTCATTTTAAGACAGGGTCTCCCAATTGCTCAGGCCGGCTTTGAGTTTGCTATTATCCTGCCTCAGCCTCCTGAGTGCTGAAATCTCAGGCGTGGGCCACTTCACCCTGCAGGCTTGTTCTGTTTCTGATAAGAAATTGGTGAGTCATTTTCATTGTTCCCTTTGTGTGATAGTCCTTTTCTTTCTGTCTAATTTCACAATTTTATCTTTATCAGATGTTTTCAGCTATTCCTTTTTTTAATATTAGCATGTATTAATCATACATATTTTTTTTTAAAGAGAGTGAGAGAGGAGAGAGAGAGAGAATTTTTTAATATTTATTTTTTAGTTCTCGGCGGACACAACATCTTTGTTGGTATGTGGTGCTGAGGATCGAACCCGGGCCGCACGCATGCCAGGCAAGCGCGCTACCGCTTGAGCCACATCCCCAGCCCCTAATCATACATATTAATGGCCTCAGTGTGACAGTCCCACACACGCACATGGCATGAACTGAAAATCCAACCTCCCTTTTCCCATCTTCCCTAAAACCTCCAGACTCTCTCTTGGATTTTCTAGGAGTGTTCTACCACTGAGCCTTGTCCTCCAGCCTTTTTTATTTTGAGACAGGGTCTCACTAAGTTGCCTAGACTGGCTTTGAACTTGGCAATCCTCCTGCCTCAGCCTCCCTGGTCACTGGGATCACAGGCATGGCCGCTGCGCTTGGCCCTCCCAGCTATTTAATTCATGATGTAGCCTCAGGAGGATGCATCATTGTGTTTTTTCTCCTTGTGGCTCATTGATCTTGAGTCTGAGAAGAATTTTCTTGGATTTATGACAGAATTTTCATCAAGTCTGAAAAAAAATTATTGTTTTTTGAAAATTTTTCCCATCCTCTTTCTCCTTTCAGTTAAACACGGTTAAGTACTTGCTGTGCTCAGGGTCAGCAAGACTCTGTCCCCCCCTTTTTTTTCCCCCCAAGCTTTTCTCTCTTTACACTTCAGCCTGGCTAGGTTCCGATGCCGTGCCTCAGGGTCAGTGCCCTCTGTGGTGTCTGACCTGTGGAAAACCTGTTCCACCGTGTGTTTCCTTCTCACATGGATTTCAGTTTGAAAGTCTCATCTGATTCTGTTACATAGTTTTTTGTTTCTATATTGAGATTCTTCATGGGTTCCTTTATTATGTATTTTTATTTTTTTTTTATTTTTATTTTTTAAAGAGAGAGTGAGAGAGGAGAGAGAGAGAGAGAGAGAGAGAGAATTTTTAATATTTATTTTTTTAGTTCTCGGCAGACACAACATCTTTGTTGATATGTGGTGCTGAGGATCGAACCCGGGCTGCACGCATGCCACGCGAGTGCGCTACCGCTTGAGCCACATCCCCAGCCCTATTATGTATTTTTAAATACTCATGTGTTTATAATAACTTTTCCCATCAGTGCCTGGCAATAGCACCTTCTCTGCCCCTTCTGAATCTGGTTGTTTCTCTTGATTCTCCCCCTGACTTTGAGCCCTATCCCATGCTGCTTTACATGTCTGGCAGTTTTTATTTTAAGTTAGACCTTCAAAAGCTAAATACTGAAGGCTAGATTTCACTGTTGTTCTGGGTTTTATTCATGACAGGTGGTGAGTTTACTTGAAGATTGCTAGAAACCTGATGTTTATAAGCTCCTTTAGGGAAATTGCAGGGTATCCTTTATTCAGTGAGTCGCTGTGCCTTGTGTTTAAGTCACTGTCTTTTTGAAAGTCTCCTCTGAATGTCCTGGGTGCTCTGCGAGGTCTCTGTACTCTGTCCAGTTGACCTTGAGCGTGTCCCTGCCTTGTCCAGCTCCAGGAATTGTTAGCCTGAGGCCTTCCGTCATCATTCCCCAGAGGCAGCCATTGCTTGGCTTGAGGAGTCTGGGCTTGTGCACCTTCATGTTCAGCCCAGGTTCAGGGGACTTCTATGCCGATTTCTGGAGCCCTCCTCGCCCTTACCCTGACCTGCCATTTCCAGCTGCTTCATCCTCCCAAACTCGTAGCCGCCTTTCTGGCCCAGAGCAGTCGCTGTGCCTGTGCTGCAGTTGGGAAGCACCTCTGGACAGGAAGCCTGAGGCCTGGCTTCCGTTGCTTACCTCCTCTTACATCCCAGTCCAGCAGCGTCCAGCGTGGAAGCCGTTGTTCGAGGTGTGGGTCCTAGCCGGCAGTGGTGCATGATGGGAGGCCGGGTAGATTGCTTCATCTGAGTCAGAAGCAGAACTGAATCTTGAGATGGTTCTGAAGCCAGCAGCCACGACAGCTCTGCCCTCTTTGGTCATCACTTGCCATCAGCACTTGGATACGCTGTCCTCCCTGGAGGGACGGAGAAACGCACAGCAGTGTTTTTAGTTGTCCCAATAAGGAGAGGAGTGGCCAGTGACTAGGATTCTAAACGTCCTCTGAAGAGTGAGGGGCTGGAGATACAGCTCAGGTGGTAGAGTGCCCGCTGTGCATGCACACACGCCTGGGTTCAGTCCCCAGCACCATACACACACACACACATGCACACACGAATAAATAAGGGCTGAGTCTTTGTGGCTGTGTAGTCTTTGCCTCAGCCTGACACAGACCAGATGACAAGGACATTCTTGGGTCACTTGGGATGGTGACAGCGTATGGGGTTAATGCTGCTAAAGAGGCTCAGAAGCACACGTTAAAGCAGGCTTCCCCCCCCCCCTTTAGGTCAAGGTGTCATCCCTCTGAGGAATATTAGGAGAGCCCTGTGGCTCCTGCCACCACAAGGGCAGGTGGTGCTGGCTTATGACCGTGACGGCCGTGGTGAGAAAGCTCAGGATAGGGGACGGGCTGGCAGAGGGAGGGCGAAGCATCACTCCCAGACTCTGAGAACAGCCGGGGCTGTATCTCAGGCCACGTTCCCGGCAGCCCTGTCGCCTCCCTATGCCTCCTCCACTCTCTTAACCTGCTTTCCCAGATGGTGTCACCTACTGCCACTCCATCGACCTCTCGGAGCGAGTGGCGCTAAAGCTCGACCAGAAGTTCCCCTTCAGCCTCATGAGGAGGGTCTCCGTGTTCAAGTACATCTCCGGGTCTTCAGCTGAGAGAAGGGCTGCCCAGAGCCGGAGGTCAGTCACAGCACCTGTCCCCCTGGCTCCTGCAACCCCTCCAAGGCCAGTGTGGCCCTAGGGGAGTGTGGGGATGCGACCAGCTGAGGGAATGAGTACATACCCAGGGGCCAAGGGCGCAGCCCAGCACGCCTGCCTCCCCCGCGTGACGCCCAGGGAAATACAAGAAAATGAGCAGCTCTGGCTGCTGCCCCACCGTCTGGAGAAGGGAGTGGCATCTGAGGACACTTGCCCATAGTCCTGAGTGACATGTAGAGAGATCAGGTGTGAGCGCCCCCAGCCAGTGTGACATGTTTTAGCACTTGACAGGTCACACTGAGCTGTGGTGTGTGGCCCAGATGAGGTAGGGACAGCCCGCACAGCCGGCGGGGTTCTGAGGACAGACTCAGCCTGGGGTCTGGAGGGTTGTCCTTGACCACCAACAAGAGCAGGTGAGGCTGCTGGTCCCAGGCCAGCCCATGCGTTCTCTGAGGAAGCCAGGCAGGCCACCCACTCATGGGGCTGCTTCATTGTCACAGAGGAGGCCACAGAGCACACATGGGTTCCCGTGACTCCAATCCACACCCAGGTCTCCTCCCACCCCTTTCCCCTGTTCACACTGCCCTGTCCCTTGGGGTTCTTCATGGTCTTGTCCCTGCTGAGACTCCATAGCAGAGGACTTGACCTCTCCTGCCGTGGTCCCCCTGAGACAAGGAATTTTCTAGGAAGCCGAGTGCTCTGTTGGTGACCCACATCCCCTCCTCGCTGCCTGGATGCGGGTCTAGTTGAATTGGAAGCTGCTCCTTGGGGTTCGTTCCAGGAGGTGGCTCCAGCCTGTGCTGGCCCTGGCAGGAAGGGATGGACACCAGGAGAGAGAGAAGCACAAACCTGCCTTTTTGCTTTGGGTATATAATCCCTGGCATCTGACTCGGGGAGAAACTTTATAGAATGAGCAAGTCCCAGTGACTTGGGAGGCTGAGGGAAGAGGATCACAAGTCTACCGGCAGCCTCGGCGATTTAGTGAGACTCTCACCAACTTACCAACTTAGTATGATCCGTCTCAAAATAAAAAGAGCCAGGCATGTGACTCGGTGGTAAATTGCCCCCCTTTTTTTTTTTTTTTGTACCGGGGATTGAACTCAAGGGCACTGACCATTGACCCACACCCCCAGCCCTATTTTGTATTTTATTTAGAGACAGGGTCTCACTGAGTTGCTTAGGGCCTTGCTTTTGCTGAGGCTGGCTTTGAACTCGCAGTCCTCCTGCCTCAGCCTCCGAACCTCTGGGATGACAGGCGTGTGCCACTGCGCCCAGCCTCCCATAAGACTCTTGAGAGGGCTTTAGGGTTTGGGGTGCCAACTCCACCCAGGGAGGGACTCCCTTCTGTAATAACTGACACTGGTCACCAACCACAACTCATGCCCATGGAGGATGGCTCAATGACACTGTGCCTCCCTAGTGCCAGGTCTGATCCTGCTCCAGTATGACAGGCAGACAGGACAGGGAGAGGTTGTGGCCCTTTCTGTTCCTCACATGATTGGGGTCTGGTCCTCATTGCCAGGGCCTGCTGCAGATGCCCAGAACAGAACGTGTCCCAGGCAGCCCAACAGTGGGTCATAGGCGGCGCGTGACGGCGTGTGTTTGGTGGTGAGGCAGCCATTTGGGGCAGCTTTGTCTCCCTGGCTGCTCTGCAGGAATTTGTTTCTCTCTTTGTTTCTGTTTTTCGTTGTTGTTTTGTTTGTTTTCTTTTGTGGTGACRGGGATGGAGTCCAGGGCCTCACACCTGCTAGGCCACATCCCCAGCCCCAAGAATCGTTTAATTTCTTAATGTCATGTGAAGGGGGACATGAAGTGTCCTGTACCTGAACTCAGGCAGCTGGTCTGTGGTGGGGTCTGTGACCTCAGCACGCCCATTGTTAGAGGGGTTCCTGCTCCGTGAGTTCCCTCCTGAGGGCCCAGGTAGGAGATTGACAGCAGGTGGCCTGGGCCATGGGCTCCCTCGGAGGCCACACGGTGGCGCTGCACTCTGGGTGGAATTGCTGTGGGCTGTGACCTGGCCAGTCAGTCCCTCTACTGGTGGGTGAGCGGCTGCGAGGAGGCCCCCCCCTCAAGCTCTGTCTCCCTTCGGGCTGCTGCCTCGCTGTTCGGGCCTCTGTTCTCTGAGATCAGTCCCTTTCCTCACTTGGTCCCCAGAGCTAGCCTCAGAAAATGACCAGAGGTTGATGTGTGCTGAGCAGGACGGTGGCCCTGCCCTGCCCTGCCCTGCCCTCTGGGGTGGCCTTGTGGGCCTTGTCACTGCTGGCTGAATGACCTTCCCTCTCTTGTTCCTTTTCAGGCTGAACCCTGTGCCTGGCTCCTACCCCACACAGAGCTGCCATCCTCATCTGTCTCCAAACCACCCTGTCACCCAGATGCAGCATGCCAGCRGCCAGAAACTTGCCTCCTGGCCAGCCGTCCCTGGGCACATGCCCAGCCTGCCCCCGTACCAGCCCACCTCCGGCCTGTGTTATGTGCAGAACCACTTCGGCTCGACCCCTAACTCCTCCAGCGTCTACCCGGCTTCTGTGGGGACCTCCATGGGGGTCCAGCCCCCTACCCCCGTCAGCTGCCCTGGCACAGTGTATTCTGGGACCCTGGGCACCCCAGGGGCTGCAGGCTCCAAGGAGTCCTCCAGGGTCACCATGCCCTGAGAGAACATTTAGGGAAGACACCTCACGTCTCGGCCTTCCGAGGAAGGTCCTGTCAGCTGATTTTCTTGACAAAAACTTATTTATTGAATACCTCCTGTGCCAGGCCGTGTCGAGTACCTTGATACATGTCCGTTTCCGCCCTCTTCGTGCTCCCATCGGCTCTGTAAAGTAGTTTACACAGACACTCTGTGACATCATGGGATCCTGTGGCCCTGGTGGCCCAGCTGGGGTTCCTCCCTCCTGGCTCAGGGCGCCTCCTAGAGGACGTGGGAGGGAAGGGCTGCTGTCGGGCTGCTGATGGCTCTCCAGTGCTACCTTCCTTCCTGTCTCTACTCTGCACACGCTCTGTCCCCTGCAGTGTCCCTGTGTCTGTGCTGGGCAGCCCCCAGGCCTCTGTAATAAATCTCCCCCAGTCACCCGCACCCAGACTCCGTGCCCAGCTGCGGTGACCTGTGTCGTGTCCTTGACCTTGGTATAAAGAACCAGCCTCCAACCTGCCCATGGTGTGTGGCTTCTTTGATCTGGCCGAGGAGGTGACATGGGGATTGGGGCCGTGGCAAAGAGGGAGAGGGACCAAGGTTGGGTCAGACCAACAACTATGCCCAGTAGGTCAGGAGTGGGGACCCAGGGGAGTGAGGGGCAGAGGTGTGGGGAGAACTGGAAGAGTGAGGCTGGCGGTTGGGCAATCAGCCCTGGGCAGCCGCAGGGCACCTCCCTGCTCCCAGGAAGGAGGGGGTGTGGCCAGAGCTTGGGAGTGGGGACCACCAGGAGAAGGGCTGCCAACAGGACCATAGACCCCTCAGTGGCATGGATACTGGCAGCGATGCCACTGGAGAAGCTCCTGGCTTTGCATGTTTGCCAGTCGGCCATCTGTGTGTCCCATTGGCCAGGTTAACCCGGAGCCAGGAAGCAAGTGAGCCCGGGAAATGCTGGAGCAGAGCAGGACAAGGAGGGGGTGTGAGCTCATGGCCTGGCCAGACCCAGGGACCCCTTGTGGCTTCTGGTCAGTGCCAGCTGCATAGGCACGTTCAGGGACACGACTCATGGCCCCACCTGTCCAGCCACACCCTGCACTTTGGCCTTAGTGGCCTGTCCCAAGCCATCTTCCTCTGCTCCTGCCCAGGCCTGTACCAGAAGCAGGTGCAAGGGCACTGCTGGGAGTGGCAAGGTCATGTCCCTCCTTCCTCTGGCCTTCTGTATGAACTGGCCAGCTGGAGCTGCAGAAGACGGGCCTTGGGATGGCCAGGCTGGACCCAGAGGTCCCCAAGCAGCAGAGCTGTGAGGACCCTCGGGTCATTCAGCCTAGCCCTCCTCTCCAACCCTGGCATCACTCCTGGGGCTTCAGGAGGCAGAGGTGGGCCACAAGCAGGGCCTGGCTCCAGCCTGCCCCACCTGTTGCTCGGGGACTGACTTCTCGTCTCCATGTTCCCCTGGACTTTTCCTGGGTCTGGCCACAACACGGACAGCCTTGGAGCCAGCTCAGAGTGGGACCATATCTCACCCCGAGGTTCTGGAGGACCTAGAGGGRATCCCAGGCCCCTTCCCCATTTGCCTGTCAGCACTGTCCCAGGTCACAATCTATGTGCAGCTGCAGGCTGGGGCCAGAGGTGACATGGATGGTAAGCTGCATGTAAACCGAGGGCCACAGCACGGGGCCTGCCGCTCAGTCAGTGTCTGCAGCAAAGGAATGAGCCATGCACCCTGCCTAGGATGGCTCAGGCAGGACTGTCACCTGTGCACTGAAAGCTGCAGTGGGGACAAGCAGCACTAGAGGAACTGAGGGGGCTCCTGCTCAGCCTGGGCTGGCAGCCAGGGAGCCTGGGCCCGTTGAGTACCAATCTCCCACCCTGCCAGGAAGGAGGGAGGCATTCGCTCCCGCCCCTGCTCACCTGCTCACCAAAGCCCTTAGACCCTCACCAGAAACCTCTCCCGTCTGGCCACCAGGGAGGCTCGCAGGTGCTATCAGCTTCCTCAGGACAACAGAGAGCAGCAGGCTGCCCTGTGATGCACAGATCTGTCCTGGGGCAGGGAAAGGTTCTCTCCTGTGCTCCAGGGAACTAAGCCTGGAGGGAAGCAAGCCAGGTGGGGAAGGCAGGTGTGGAGCCGGTCAGGTTGGAGAGGCAAGGCCGCAGGGGGAGTCCTGTAGGAAAGGCGAGGCTGATGGAAGTAATGGAGGCTGGCCCTAGGCAGCCAAATGGCCAGAAATGGAAGTTGGGGGTACCAAGTGGCTCTGGTGCCCCAGCACATGTGGCAGGGCTGAGGCTGTGCATAGCTTCACCACCTGAAGTCTAGGTCCTGCCCAGAGGCTCCTGCTCCCCAGGTGTGCGGCTGGTGGAGACCTGGAGATGGCTGCAGGTAGCCGACGCCTGGAGGGTGAGCTTCCTGTGAATGCAAGTGTGGCCAGGTCGGAGAAGCCTGGGGTAGGATGCGGGGGGGTCCAAGGGGACATCGCCCCTGGTCTGAGCTCTGACATGTCACTCTGCCTGGACAACTGCCAGCGGCACCAGCAGCACCCCAAGCTGGACCTGAAGCCTGGCTCTGGGGGACCCTGCGCCACCTCCAGGACAGGTGAGAGGCTGCCTTGCTTCACAGTCCTGCCTTGAGCTTAGAGCCAACACATGCGTGCACACACACACACACACACACACACACACACTTTGGCTGAAACAAGGTCTCCAGAGGCTGGCCTGTCACCCCTGCTGCATACCCCAGGGAGCAAGGGCAAGGCCACTTGGGCCTCTTGGGGTGGAAAAACAGAGCTTCCTGCCCTCCAAGGTCACTGGGATGGCCCTGACATTCCCAGGGCCCAGCAGTCAAGCACACAGGGTCCCTAGTAGCAAACACACACACACACACACACACACACACACACACACACACACGCACCCGGCCTGCATGGGCACCTACAGACCCAAACACTTGACCTCACATATCTGGCCTTGAGCCACACGCAAATTTCTGTTCAAACAGGTGGGTACCCACCCTCAGAAATGCACGTGTGTTTGAAGCACACCCACACGCTGTGTTGAACACAGAGTCCTAAGCTTATCCATACAGAGCTGGTACCAACGCGCACGCGCGGGCAAGTGGGGCTTTGCGGGGTAAGTTTCCAGCAGGAGCCTCCAAACTCCCCCTCAGCCTGCCTGGCCTGACCCTGCCTCCTGCCTTCCCCCAAGCACGCGGGGTGGCTGGCCCTGTGTGAGATGGCCCAACAGCTGGCACCAGCTTCCAGGCATCTCTTCCAGGAATGGGTGTGGCCACTTGTGGCACATGAGGAGCGGGACAGCAGGACAACAGGACGGCCCTCCCCTCCCAACCACCTATCACATGAGGCCAGCAATTCCACCGTCGGAGGGTCAGGGACTGATGTTTGTCAACATAAAACAACAGCTCTGCTTAGGAACTCAGAAGACAGCATCTTCTGAGCCAGACACGAGTGACCACGGCCCTGGAAGATGGGCTCAAGTCCCCTGACAGCATGGTGTCTTGTGGAAGAGGCTACATGAACTTCTACAGCCACAGAACAAAGAAGGTCATAAACCAGCAGGTTCACCAAATAACACTGGCGAGGGCATCAGACAGGTGGCACAGCAGAGCAGGGACCTCCGGGGCTTTGGAGCCTGCCCCATTGTTTTCTTGGCTTCCGGGTTGGTGGGGGCTCTAGGTCCTAGAATCTTACTAAGTGTCACAGGATGACAGGTCAGATACAGAGATGGGGAGTAAAATGGCCACCAAGGGACTAAGGGAGCCCAAGGTCACTTGGGCTCTTGACCTGCAAGGCTCCATCTTTCTGCCATCACCGTGTCTATCAGCTGGCCCGTGGGGTCTTGAGCTTCTTCAGAGAACATGGGCCCCACAGGTCACTTACCAAACGTGGAGAGAAGATTCTTGGACCAACTCCATCCCAATGTGGGAATCCAAGGCCCAGAGAGGGGAAGTTACTTGACTAAGAGCTTAGAACCAAGTGGCCCTGGGACAGAGCCAGCTCAGAACCCAGTTCTCCTGATCCGGGTCATTGGAAAGAGTCAGCTGGATGACAGCTGGGATCACAATGAGGCCCAGGCAGAGGCTCTTGGGGCCACTCGAGCCCACCCAGGGAAGCCCACCCAAGGCCTTGGCCCGCACCTGGCAGCTACTGCTCCCAGGCTCCTCTCAGTCACACCAGGAGAGCCACCAGGGCACCCTCAGTCACACTCTGGGGGAGAAGGTGCCGGGTGGGGGGGCTCTCCAAACCCTCCCACATGGTGGGGAGCTCTGGGGAGAGACCAGAGCCTGAGAGAGCAAGGAGACCAGTCACTGACACGGGACACACAGGACCCCTCCCGGCCCCATCGGTAGCCTGGGCTCTCTACCGGGCAAGGAGAGCGGAGAGGCCTCTCCTGGGCCACCCATCCCCTCATCAGCCCCATGGTGGGGGGCACCTGACATATAAGGCCCTGCACCACTACCCCCCCTCCTCTTCTTGTGCCCCCTGCCCCCTCGACAGCTCCCTTCCTGCCTCTCCTGTCCCCTCGCCAGCAGTGGGTAGTGCCACCATGCCCTGATTCCCCTTGCCACACTCAGACCCCGCCAAGGCCCAGTCACAGAACCCAGCTCTTGCTCCAGTTCTGGAGCTGATGACTTAACTGGGCCCTTCTCAGGAAAGGACCCTGGTCCCAGAGTCAGCAGGGATGGCATGAAGGAGGTGCCTGGCCCTGAGCTTCAGAAGATGGACAGAGAGGAGGCACATCACCCCAGAGCCAGCAGGACCCGGCAGAAGGGAAAGGACATCATGCCGGAGGGAGCTTTGACGCAGCGACTGGGAGCCCTGCTGGGGGCGGAGGCTGGAGCGGGGGCTGCTCTTGCAGGCAGGGCGGGGGCCAGGTGCCTTTTGGGCTTTGGTTTTGAGGGCCGAGGGGTGCCCTGGCAGAGATGGCCTGGGCATTGGGAAGAAGGGAGCTCTGGATCCATGCTGTGAGAATCTGAACCGAGGCGCCAGCCACCCATCCACCCACCCCAGGCCGAGCTCTGCTGGGGCCTCAGAGAAGGGCCTGGAATTGTGACACGGAGGCCGGGAGCACAGGTTTGAGGGAGGCCTCCAGGGTGCCAGYGGCCTCTCCTTGGCTGGGAGGCTTCCGGCCAGTTACTTGACCTCTCTGAGCCTCTGGAACCTTCCATCTCTGAAAAGGAAGAACCCTGCCCGCCAGGCCGAGGAGAGGTGTATGTAAAAGAGAGAGAAGGGTGAAACAGGGTTGCTAACAAATGTTTGGCTTGAGGACAGTTTCCCAACTGCCCTGACCTCCCATTTCCTCACCTGCACAGTGGGAACAAGGATCCCAAATTTAGAGGGGCTGAATGAAACTTAGAGCAAGGGACGTGGCACTGATGTGATGTATGCCCAACGGGCAGCTTCTACGGGTGCTGAGGAGCCTCTTGCCAACTGTGGTACCTTCTCTCAGCTCCCGTGGCCCCCAGGCTGCCTCTGTCCACTGCACTGCAGACTCAAG